CGCCCAAGAACAACAAGAGGAAAGAGAAAGGTGCCCCGGCAGATAAGAGGACCCGATGGAGGCTACAGCAGATCCCGCAGTGCCTGACATGTGGACGACTTCACCGAGGCGAGTGTCGCTTTGGTCAGGATGTATGCTACTATTGTCACGAGTCCGGACACTTCGCGAACCGTTGTCCGAAGAAGGCTCAGCAGCCTCAGCAGCCACCACAGCAGCAGCAGCCCCGTCAGCAGGCACAGAGGCAGCCTCAGTAGCAGCAGCAGAGGGGTAGACAGCAGGCCCGAGTTTACGCCATTGATCAGGCAGAGGCCGAGCAGCAGCCAGGTACCATGTCCGGAATGGTTGTTCTTAATAATGTTCCTGTGTTTGCTTTATTCGATACCGGAGCGACACATACTTTCATTTCACGACGATGCCTTGACGCCATCGGAGTTCGCGCTACTACCGCTATCGATCCTCTCGAGGTGAGTTTGGCCTCGGGACGAAAGATAGTGACTTCAGCTAAAGCCTCAGATCTTAGCCTTTCCATCGGTGGCCGAGTTTTGCATACCGACGCGTTTGTTCTCGAGATGAAGGACTTCGACCTTATTCTCGGAATGGATTGGCTATCCTTTTATCATGCGGATATCAAATGTCACGACCGGGAGATTACTCTTTATCTTCCAAGAGCCGAGTCAATTACTTTCTTCGGCTCCAGAAATCGTTCTTTGCCTCATGTTGTTTCGATGGCGAAAGCCACTAAGTTGCTACGACGAGGCAACTGCCAGGGTTATCTGGTGAGCCTTGTCGACAATTCTCAGAAAGCACGTTCACCTCTCGATGTTCCAATCGTTCGAGAGTTTGTGGACGTATTCCCAGATGAGCTTCCAGGAGGACCACCTAACCGGCAGGTGGAGTTCTCTATTGATCTTATTCCAGGGGCCGGTCCAATATCCAAAGCCCCGTACCGTATGGCGCCAAAGGAGTTGCAGGAGCTTAAGGCGCAGATTCAGGAGCTGTTACGACTCGGTTTCATCCGACCGAGTGTGTCACCTTGGGGAGCACCCGTTCTCTTTGTTAAGAAGAAGGACGGATCCATGCGCATGTGTATTGACTACCGGGATCTTAACCGGTTGATGATCAAGAATAAGTATCCGCTTCCCAGGATCGATGACTTATTTGATCAGTTGAGGGGAGCCTGTGTGTTCTCAAAGATTGATTTGCGATCAGGCTACCACCAGCTGAAGATTAAGGAATCAGATATCGCTAAGACCGCTTTCAGGACTCGTTACGGCCATTACGAGTTCGTCGTCATGCCATTCGGTCTCAGCAATGCGCCAGCAGTTTTCATGGACCTCATGAACCGTATCTTCCATCCCTACCTCGATCAGTTTGTTATTGTCTTTATTGACGATATTCTTATCTACTCGAAGAGCCAGAAGGAGCACGAGGAGCATCTGAGGGTGGTTCTCGAAACCCTCAGACGAGAAAAGTTGTTTGCGAAATTCTCCAAATGCGAGTTCTGGCTCCAGCGAGTATCCTTTCTAGGTCATGTGATTACTCAGGCAGGTATCGAGGTGGATCCTTCCAAGGTTTCAGCCGTTCGGAATTGGTCGACACCGAGGAGTCCGTCCGAGGTTCGCAGTTTTCTCGGTCTAGCTGGATACTATCGCAGGTTCATCGAGGGCTTTTCCAAGATCGCCCTCCCTCTATCCCAGCTGACTAGGAAGTCTGTGAAGTTCCAGTGGACTGACCGATGTGAGTCGAGCTTTCAGGAGCTAAAGAGGAGATTAACTTCAGCACCGGTGTTGACTATTCCCGATCCTTCTCGGAGTTTTACCATTTTCAGCGATGCTTCGAGACAGGGCTTGGGATGTGTCCTTATGCAGGATGGCCAGGTCGTTGCGTATGCTTCCCGTCAGCTTAAGTCGCATGAGCAGAATTATCCGACGGACGACTTGGAGTTAGCAGCAGTCGTTCATGCTCTCAAGATTTGGCGACACTATCTTTACGGCGGTCATTGTGAGATTTTCACAGATCATAAGAGCTTGCAATATATCATTACTCAGAAGGAGCTCAACATGAGACAGCGCCGTTGGTTAGAGCTCGTCAAGGATTACGATTGCTCTATTCAGTACCATCCGGGAAAGGCGAACGTCGTTGCAGATGCCCTAAGCCGAAAGGTGAGGGGTGATCTGACGTACGTCATTACTCAGCAGAGTCCGTTGATTCAAGAGTTTGCCCGGATGCAGCTTCAGGCGATTGATGCACTTCCCATAGCCGTTTCGGGGAGTACCAGTGCCAGTGTCAGTGCAATGCAGCTTCAACCGACGCTGAGAGAGAGAATCTGGCGAGAGCAGGCTTCTGACGAGTTCGTTCGTGTCATGGAGGCCAAGGTTCGCGCCGGAGGCGTCGAGGGTTTTCAGCTAGGTGCTGATGGTGCCCTAGAATTCAGAGGCAGGATCGTGGTCCCGAAAGTTGAGGCGTTGCGGAAGGAGATTTTATCAGAGGCTCATACCGCACCCTATCTAGCCCATCCCGGGAGCACGAAGATGTATCACGACCTGAAAGGGTCGTTCTGGTGGCGAGGCATGAAGAAGGACGTCGCCGAGTTTGTCAGGAGATGTCTTACCTGTCAGCAAGTTAAAACCGAGCATCAGAGTCCGATTGGCCTCCTGCAGCCACTGCCGATTCCGAAGTAGAAGTGGGAGGAAGTCACGATGGATTTCGTTACGGGATTGCCGAGGTCGTCTGAACATCACGACGCTATCTGGGTCGTGGTCGACAGATTGACTAAGGTCGCGCATTTCTTACCCGTTTCGATGAAGATGTCTCTGGACAAGTTGGCTGAGATATATACCCGCGGGATCATCCGACTCCACGGAGTGCCCGTCACGATTGTATCAGACAGAGATCCCAGATTCGTCAGTCGATTCTGGCACAGTTTGCATGAGGCGATGGGCACGAAGCTTGAGTTCAGTTCAGCTTACCATCCGGAGACAGACGGTCAGTCAGAGCGGACTATTCAGACGCTTGAGGATATGCTTCGCGCTTTGGTTGTTGACAGGGGTGCTAAGTGGGAGTCGTTGTTGCCGTACGCAGAGTTCGCGTATAACAACAGCTACCATTCTTCTATTCAGATGGCTCCTTATGAGGCACTTTACGGTCGCAAGTGTCGTTCCCCTCTCTATTGGGACGACGTCGGAGAGCGGCGAGTACTCGGTCCCAAGTTGATCGAGGAGACGGCAGATCAGGTCGAGTTTGTAACACCCCGAGTTTTATTAATAAAGGAAAATACTAGCTTTTAATTTTAAGCTAGCCTTTGTTAATAAATATTCATGTTCAAGTCTTAATTATTCAGTTTCAGTCAAAGTTCGACTATTAGTCGATATGTTATTCGGTTGGGGAACCGAACGAGTTTTCAGATTTAATTTCGATTCATTTAATTAGTTAATGAGTCCGGAATTAATAGGGTTAAAGTGACGAATTATTCGAAATATTATTATTCAGATTAATCGTCCAAGTCAAGAATGTTCGAACTAAATTTCGAATGTCATGTTCATGTTCGGAATAATATTCCGATACTAATTTAGTTAAAGTTCTCACGTCAAGTTCAGTTTTCCTATACAGCGGTGTGTTCACGTTGGTACACCGTCCGTCATTAATTAAGTAATGGTTATTAAACCTTGCTTAATTAACTTAATCATGTTTAAGCTAATTAATCATGATTAGCTTAAAGATAATCATGATTAGCTTAATGATAATTAAGATTAATTAACATTAATGAGGATTAGTTAAGGAATAATTATGTTTAAGGTTAATTGTGCTTAATTAGCATTAATTGGGCTTAAATAGCTTCAGACATGTTTAGTTAATGTATAAGTCATGCTTTGTAAGGTTAAATTGCCATAAGAAGTTGATGTGCAAGATTCACGTGAGGTAATCATGTCTTTTATGCTATGTGGCATCATTTTAAGATTTCATGTGATGACTAAGTCTCAAATAGGGCCGCCTTATAGCCATTACTCGGCAAATGGCGAGAAACAAGTGATCTAATCTTTTCTCTTCAAATTCTCCGCCAACCATATCTTATAAATCGTGGAGAATGACGGAAATTATAGTTGCTGTCTAAATTATATACTAAGTATACTTTAAGAAAGTTAAGACATTTTACATATGCGTACATGGAGTCTTCCGTCGGGAAGATGATTAAGCAAGAATTTCTTGAGCAATTGAAGAGGTAACACCTTCTTCATCTTCTATTTATGTTAGTAAGGTAATAATCAAGATAATTGTTCGAGTTATTTTCAGAAATTCATGAGAAGTTCATGCTTCACTCGGTTTAAGTTAAGTAAGCCCTATGCCGAGTTATGTTCATTTTCCTCAGCAAGTCATGAGTGTTTCATGTCCCTTTAGTCATTATTTAGTGTATAATGTTCAGTCTCAAGAGATAGGTCGAGACAAAATGAAGATTTGTTCATGAAATAGCCCATGGATGTGGACTGCGCATCTAGCGCATGCCCACGGGTTGTGGCTTGCCCTTCATGTTATCATGCTATATAATCAGAATTGTGCGAGTAACCCTAGTCTCAATAAGCTTTAAATTGATTATAATGATCAGTTTCTCATGATTGTTCGATAAAAGTTCATGTTTACTCGGGGGTTTGGCTTACCGCCGAGTGTGTGCGTACGGTGTGCACGCCTCAACACCCTCAGTAAGTAAAGTTCATGATTTTTCAGAAGAGTCTAGTATGTATAGTCATAGCAAGTCATATCATGATGTTTTATGTTGGTTCGGTCGAGGGTAATCATTAAACGGCCGGCAAAGGGCCGGTAGTGGCCAAGCTGTCCGCACAGTGCGGCAGCCATGCCCAGTCAGGCACGCCAGCGTGCGGTAACGCACGCCAGTGCGCAGCAGTGCGTCGTTGGCCTCGGCAGCAGCCTGCGCGAATAGCCAGCATCGCGGGAGTGCACAGCGCACGACCGCAGTGTCCCCTTGCACGTCAATAGTACCAGCCGCACGTTGTGGGGTGCAATAGCACCCGACAGTCATGTTCAGTGCACGCAACGCACACGCTATTGCCCAGCGTCGTGTTTGTGATGCACCAGTCACGCGGTTGTCACGCAGGCCGGGCCCAGTAGCCGCCAGCGTGCATAACAGCCAAGTTCATGTACCGTTCACACCCAGCGGCCAGTGCAGCGGCCAGTCCAGGCAGCAACCGCGCACGCAGCCTTGATAGGCCCAC